AAATCCATTGGATCCATTTTTTTTATATAACTAAAATCCATTGGATCCATCGGACCATTTTTTTTTTAATAATAAATTCAGTGTTTTGGGATTTGAACCCACAAACCAAATAGTACTGTGACAATCCAGAAGGTGGTCTGTAAACATTTGCACAAGAGCTTGTTCGCCATGCGTAAATTTTTAACTAGTTTTTGGGATTGCATTTATTCAAATTTGATGTGATTTTGAACATATACGTTACTCATTCTATGAGTAAAATATTGTTCGTTTATACATTGTTCTAGTTTCTATAGCTTTTATTGCCTTAGTCGAACTATATGTGATTTTGAATCATTTGTTAATTGTTCGTTCATTTTATTATGCATGACAAAACCAGAAATTTATAGTTTGATGGTCACAACAAATTTGAGCATAAAAATGTTAAAATTGCACACCAAAACATTAGCAATTATCATGTTTCGCTCGCTATACTCTGGTTTAAATAAATTATTACAAAGCCCAGTCGAATTGTAATCAAGACCCAACGTTTCGACACTCCAGTCTAGTGTCTTCATCAGGGGTGATCTAAAACTGCGATCGTGGCTTCTTAAATACCCAAGGGATGACGTCACCTGCGAAGAAGATGCATATATTCCTCTGGCAAATAGGCGCCGTCATCCCTATTCAAAGCATGATGACTCGTATTAATATGCCACGCTTCTAGGCAAAGTCTTTGACCATAGCGATTGTGTGAGGTAATTACTTTAGAGTTTTCCCACGCAATCTCGTGTTTGGTGTAACATACATGTTCGGCTAAAGCTGATTTTCCCTTGTCTAAAGTTGAAACAGCCTTTTGATGTTGTTTTAGCCGTGTATCAAACTGGCGTTTAGACTGACCCAAATACTCTTTGTCGTCAGAGTATTTTGTCGTATTTGGGCCAGTCTAAACGCCAGTTTTGGTACACGGCTAAAAGAACATCAAAAGGCTGTTTCAACTTTAGACAGGGGAAAATCAGCTCTAGCCGAACATGTATGTTACACCAAACACGAGATTGCGTGGGAAAAGTAATTACCACAAACAATCGCTATGGTCGAAGACTTTGCCTAGAAGCGTGGCATATTAATATGAGTCATCATGCTTTGAATAGGGATGACGGCGCCTATTTGCCAGAGGAATATATGCATCTTCTTCGCAGGTGACGTCATCCCTTGGGTATTTAAGAAGCCACGATCGCAGTTTTTTAGATCACCCCTGATGAAGACACTAGACTGGAGTGTCGAAACGTTGGGTCTTGATTACAATTCGACTGCGCTTTGTAATCATTTATTTAAACCAGAGTAGCGAGCGAAACATGGTAATTGCTAATGTTTTGGTGTGCAATTTTAACATT